AATGTTATTTCATTGTAACATTGATGAGAAAATAAAATTCGCTTCCCAACTAGGACAACTGTCATGTGGAATTTGCACTTGTGTGGGTTTTCTCCAGGTACTCTGGATTCCTCCCACATGCCAAAGATCTGCATGTTAGGTTCACTGGTGTGTCTAAAGTGTCTCACTCTGTGTGGGTGTGTGAGTGCACCCTGTGACAGTAGGGGTCCCGTCCAGGGTTGGTTCCAGGCTCGTACACTGAGCTGCCAGGTTAGGCTCTCGCCATCTACAACTATAAACTGCATGTAAATGAAAAAATGACCGAATGTAATTTATTGTCTAACGTCAGAAATGTTTCAAATCTTTAGTCAAAAGTTTAGGGTACTTATGTGACCATAAATACACTGTAGGAAATAACTCTTGTTTACACCCTAATTGCTATGGTAAAATTGGTTCTGTTATATGTCATTTTGCTTAAGTGGCAGTTCCCAAGAACCTATTGACAAAGTTAACAGAAGACTTATTATCTCTCTAAATACTCAAATAACAACATTTGACTTGCCCTTGGTAAGTCTCCTTACCTTTGTCTTTATCAATAATTCAACAAATAGATCAAACATTTATACACTAAAACTATGGTAAAACTAGTAATACAAAAGAGTGCAAATAGCAACCCTCCTGCCCAGTGGCACTTACTATTTAGAGGGGCAAACAAATAAGTTAGATTTTATAACATAAGAAGAAGAAAACTTTTAAAACGTTTAAAACAGAGCAGCACACATTAAGTCAGGTTTATGAATTTTTAGGCTATTAAGTCACAAAGTGTCATCAGGTATATGTTCTAAATATTTCTAAATGTCTCAAACACACTCACCTCTGTGACCTCTATATCGTCTATCTTTATCTTTTTTTTAAAGATGTATTTATTTATACATATAAGAACTGGGGCACAGGCCAGAAGTGTGGAGGGGGTGAGAGAATCACCAGGGACAGAGTGGGGAGCAGAACAGGCAGACTGACTGAAACACAATGCTGAGAGGAGCATCGTGCAAGACAGGAGAGGTCTGCTGAGCCACATGGGTCACCTCCCTGGCCAGGAACCAAACTCACGCTCAGAGCCGAGGATAGCTTCACAGTGCTGTGCTCAACCCCTTGTGCCACCAGGGAGGCACCCCCACCTCCCACCCACATCTATCTTTATCTTAGATAAAGATCTACAGATCTCTAGTTCTCTCCTTCCTCCACAATGCCCTCCACTGTGCTACCAAAACAAAATTAAATTCTTTTTTTCCAATTCTGGGAACTTAACTATAACCTAATTAAATACCTGCTTTATTAACCAGCACATTCCAGAGTAGGTTGTAGCTCCTTGCTCTGTTTACACAGCCAGCTACAAGGCCCTCACATCTGGGATCAGGAGGAAGCACAGACTGGGGGCTAAAATGATTTAGGAGCAGGGATCCTGAAAGAACAGGTTCAAGACAGCATTACTTTAAGACTGACCACGAAGAGACCCTGGATAAAGCGACAGAGTGGAGCAAGGGCAGAATCCTCTTTTTTTATTTGTTCTAAGTTCATAGAAATAGAAGAAACTTAGTAAACAAGAAGGTAAACCCAAGTTGGTGAAAACTATAGCTATAGCTGCCATCAAATGTCAATCATCAAATGTCAATCACTCTTCTTTTGTGCCAGCTTCTCCAGGCTGGATGTGCTCAGAACTTGAGCATCACTGCGGACTCCTGGAGCCACGAGAAAGTTGCTGCATGTAAATCAAATGAGAGAAGAAGATGTGCCCAGGGCCAAGCTCTGCTTTGTCCATGAACCCAGAGGAAGTGAACACAAAGTTTTGGGAACCAGGTAAAAGAGGACTCAATACTGGGGCTCAGAGTTTTCATATCAAGAGTTTGATTTTCGTGCCTATCTCTCCTACTAGGCTGATAGCTCCTGAGGGTAAGGACTGTGCAATATTCCTATCTGTAACTTCATCACCTGGTATGCTGCAAAAACTCAATCATTTTATTAATTAAATGAATGATTACACCCTGCATCCCTTCCTCTTGGATATAATCTTCCTGCCCTGCAAGAATTCTACGGAGCTGCAAAATCATCTTCAAAGATTTTATATTTAATCCTGTCACTCCCTTCCATAAAAACCACAATGACTCCCTCCAAAAATTTAAATATTTTATCATGACAAGGGAGACTGTACATAACTGGCCTCTAAAATACTGCAACAAACACATTTCCAGCCATTCTCAAGAAGCCGGCACCTATGCTAATTGATGTTTTCTGGTAAATTATCCATACTTTTCTCCCAGTATCCCATCTCTCACTCTGAGGATCTGAATTGTTCCCACCATGCTCGTCAACCACGTACCATTCCATATCCACCCCAGGATTCTTGGTATATGAGGAAACATGTTACTGAGGGAAAATTTTTGCCTCTGTGAGTTTTCTGTGAAGATATACATATTAAAAAGCTTGAAAATGTTTGCTTTACACCACTTACTGCCCCCAAAATATATCTTGCACCTGCGGGCCTCCATGTCTGTGTTAGATGCTGTTCCTCTACCTACAAAACCAGCCATCTCTCAAGGCTAGATCAAATTTCTGATCCTCTCCATGGTTTTCTCTCATCCAGACATCCCTCATGTAAGGCAAAGATTAATCACAGCATTTACTTTTCTCCTTTCATGTATTCCCCTCTAATTCTTTCAGTCACATGGCATTGTAACTTTTCCTTCACTTCCATAACACACATGTAAAAAGATGAGCCTCTGCTGCAATTTCTAAAGGTAAAAATCAAAATTAAAAAGTGCCACACCTACATTAAACTAATTGTTGAAAACTTTTAATTATACTTATTTAACTGTGTTTAGTGAATCTAAACTATGTTTAGTGAATTACAAATAATATGCATATGCATGTGTGTGTAATATATTCAACCTACATAAACAAAGTACACTATACAGACATATGATTATATGCTGATTTAAATCATATAGACTGCTGCTTTATATCAGCATGGGAATTTAAGAGGTTACTCCAACCAGGTAATACTTGTTTTCTTCATTAGTTCATCTCTACTTTTCAAAAAGTTGTTTTTCTCCACTTTTTTATGTAGATAAAAGGAGAATTATCCTAGTATTTTCTAAATGGCAAGTATTACAAAATTTGGCAGAATATAATAATCTCTTCAGATGTAGTTCTCCCATAATTCAATTTGTTTTTTCATAATGACACATTTTCTATACTAATTACATGTCTTTTTCTTATTCATTAAATTTCCCTCACTTGAATCCATTTTCATTCAAGCTGCCCCTTTGCAATTCTTTCTATGTTTGGGCCTTCAGTTCTTTTATTCAAAGCTTCAGAGCTGGCATTCTCTTTGTTTTCTTATGTGTCTATGTGTTCACTTGAAGCTGAATAGATAAATTCAGAGAATAGCTGTAGTTTTCTAAATAAATACTGGAGAACATGCTTAATATATTCAAAATTATAATGAGCATGAACAAAAAATGATATGTTCAATATATAACTATGGTAGTTTCAGATAGAGGATCGAGACTCTTTTGAAAAACAGGAATTCATTCATAATTTCTGCACCGGCTTTTTTCATAACATTTTATACCTTGTTTTTAATTTACTACTGTTTTCAATAACTTTACCTTTCTGAGAATGTCTGATTACATTTTATATAGATACAAATTCTCTATTGTGTACTCAGTTTTATTTTTCCCTCTCTTTTTTATTAGTAGAGACATTAACAATAAAATAGGCTCACTTGCTCCAGCTGGTAATTTCTCAGAACTAGTAATATATTATTCCTCTTTTTGTGACATCATAATCATCTATGTAGAAGTACCATGTATCTTTGTGTAGAAGCTACTGTTTCCATTAAATTTAATTACCTCCCCCTGTGGTTTTAAATAGAAGTGGCTTCAAAATGAGGGCAGCTTCTATTAAATTTAATTACTTTCCCCTGCTGCTTGCATGGTAAAAGGGAGGTTACTAAATGCGAGCAGCTTCTAAACTAAAGTATATGGTAACTGTGTGCTAGCAATAACAATTGTATCTAAACTAGCCTTCCTGGAAATCTCACAAGCTTTCCTTTCTCTTATTTTAAATATTTTTATCTTGATTTAAGATTGTTAAAAAAAATGATCATTGATAGAAGAAAACATACTTTAAAAACTACTGTTAGTTTCATAGGCTAAAAAAAAGAGTTTTCTGTACAAAGATACTGGAAATTTTTCCACTCAAAGATTCAAGCCCAGAACTTTTAAAATTATTAACATTTGCTGTTTTCTCGTTCCGTTATAAGGATTAGTTGTTTTATTCCTCACACATTTTTAATGTCTAGTAAAAAGACTTTCTTGATTCTGATCTGATGTATTTGAAGACTGCTTCCTAGAAGTTATTAAAAAGACGTCAAGTTTGGGGAAGCTTCAGAGAAATATTTAGAAATAGCAGTGTTTAAAAGTAAAAAAACCCACAAAAACACCATACTTACATCTGGCTGTATTTCACATAAGTTAATCTATATGCTTTATAGTAGGCGAAAATGTAAATCATATTAAAAATGCTATGATATAATCCTATAAAATCTAATAGAATATGAAATTTTAAGTACCTCTTTTTTAATTAAATATTAATTAGGAGGAAATACTACTTTGTTAAACCATCATTGTACTGTTTTTTATATGTATACATACAGGCAGAATTTAGATGAACAATATTTCCATTCAATCACACGGTTTAGTATAAATATAAAACAAGACACCCCTTAAGCATTTTAAGTAACAAATTAAACATTTACATTTTTTACTGTGCACTGAGGCTTAACATTTATGCAGCTTCAAAACCAAAGTACAGCCTCAAGGGAAGTCTCTCCACTGACAAATTAATACCTTAGAGAACAGAGCTGAATGGTGGCAATGAACTCATTTGTTCCCCCAATAATGAAGAATGACTTTTTCTTTACCACATCTGTGACTGTTGCTATGGTGACCCAGACTTACCTCATTGCTTCTCTGAGAGCTCCTCGCTCACCAAGAGTTGTGTGCTTGATGTCATCAAAATTATTCTCTAGCTTCTCGCAATTCTGCAACATATTTAAAAAAAAATGCATTAGTCCTCCAACATCCTGAGATAAAATTATAACCATGCACTTATGTAAAAGTAGAAATAACGGTATTGATTATGGACTAATGAAAAATATGTACACCAATTTAATTGGGTAAGATTCATTAAAATTGACAGGGTAAATTCAACAGTAACAAAATAAAAACACCTTGTGATATAGTAGTAACAGATGTCTATTTATCAATTTTTCAAGATATAAATGGAAGAATTGAATATTATGTAAAAGTAGTACAACTTCCAGAGATCTGAAGGGTTAGAAACTACTTCTATAAAATTATCTCAAGTGTATCAAAGCCGTTTTAAATTCAAAAGACAGTAAATTTGAGATCACAACAAAGTTTATACTGAGATTAAGAGATAAATCCCAGGTATAATGTAATAATAAAGTTTCTAAAATTTTGGAATCACAAATTTATAAGAAAACATTTAAAAGACAGTTCTTTATCAAGTAGAACAATTATATGTATATGTGACAATATATGCCCAATTCTTAAAATTGAGTAAATTATATTAAGTTTTTAGCAGACTGAATTGAAATTTTGAAGAGATTCTTTTTTAAGGAAGAGTTTTTTTACTATAATTTTAACTATATTTTTCTATGTAAAACTAACTTAACTGTATATGACTCTAAAAAATTTAAGATCACAATGTTTTAAATTAAATCTTAGACTAGAAAAGCATGTCCATATTAATCTTTTATCAAGTTAGTTTTCATGACAATTTAGTGGTAATTAGGTTAACAGGATAACTGGAATTAATGTTTAAGTTACTTTCACGAACAAAAATCTAAACGATAAGGTTTTAAATATTAATGTATTTTTTCATTTTCAAATTTTATGCAATCATTCTGGATTTTAGAAAAATGCAGATTTTAGATTAATAATTTCCTTTTATAAAATTAATTGATTTAAATCTATTGGTATACATACAACTATTTTAAGAAGTAATTTTTTTCAGTCAGTCAAATTAAAGCAGTCAATAAGACAAATTAAAGAAGATGAAATGTTCTCTTTAATACAGTTATATTTTTTATTTTGAAAATTACCAAAGTGTATTTAAGTAATTTGAATTCTGAATAAAACTTCTTTTTGGATCTGTACATTGCAAATATTATCTCCTGCTCCGTGTCTTTTCACTTTTTAGTAGTGTCTTTTCATGAAGAGCATTTCTATTTTACGAGGCCCAATTTATTATTGCTTAAATTTATGTTTAGTGGTTTTTTGGGTGCCTTTTAAGAAATCTTTGATTTCCTCAAGGTTATAAATAAATCTTCCTATTTCTTTATGAAGATTTATTATTTTATTTTCATATTTAGTTGGGCAATCTATCAGTGATTGATATTTATACATGATGAGAGATAGGAAATTACATCATATAGGTAATCAATACATAAGTACTATTTATTGAAAAGACCATTATTTCCCCCACTGCAATTCTGAGTGATCTTTTCCATAAAGTAAATCACAGAAGACTCTGTTTCTAGATTTATTCTAGTCAACTGCTAAAATTCCTGTATTGGTGTTAGTATGATGCTATTTTAATTATATCAGTAATTCCATAGCTAAATATGAAAAACATAGGTGATGGAAAAGGAGCAAAGGATTTATGTTAGCACTATGTGAGAATGACCATCCAAATAGAACAGAGGCAAAATGATGTTCAACATGCTAATTTGTTGATTAGCAATACCTTTATAAGCTGAATATTTATTTTTAGACATACACTCTAAATAAATGCAGATGTTCATTTATCTTAAGTCACATGCAAAAATATTAATAGTAATATAATTCAAAATAGCCAAAATTAGAAACAAGCCAAATGTACAAGATAGAACATATGAATTGTGATATACTGACATTTTGAAAAACTGCAGCTCAATGAGAATCAAGAAACTACAGCTACATGTAGTAACATGTGTGCATCTAACAGACATAGCATTGAAAAAGCTGACACACAAAAGAGCACATAAAAATACTGTTGCACTTACATGGAGCTCAAAAATAGGCAAAGCTAACAAGTACAGCCCAAATGAAAATAACAATTCCATTTATAAGAGCATAAAAATAAAATGCTTCTGAATAAATTTAACAGAAGAATCATGAGGCTTGTGCAATGAAAATAACAAAGCATCATGAAAAATTGAAATTCTAAATAACAGGAAAGACATCCCATGTCCATGAATTAGAAGGCTTAATATTGTTAACGTGGTACTACTGTCCCCTAAGTTGATCTAAAGATTCAATGCAATGCCTGTCAAAATATGAGCTGACATATTTTGCAGATTTTGACAACCTGATTCTAAAATTATATGAAAATGCAAGTGAGTCAGAATTGTCAAATCAATTTAAAAAACAGAAGAGCAAATTTGAAGGACCCAGATTTCCTGATTTCAAAACTTAATACAAAACTACAGTAATCAAAAAAATGTGGTGCTGGCATTAAAATGGAAGAATAACACAATGGAATAGAATTGAAGCTCTGAAAATAAATCCTTATGTTTATGTTAAAATTTATTTCAACAAGGATGCCAAGACTACCCAGTGCAGGAAAGGATAGCTTTTTCAACCAATGGTGTGGGAACAACTGGATGACTTTAGGCCAAAAGCTAAAGTCAGACACTTGTCTTGTATAATCTATAACATTAATTTAAAATGGATCACAGACTTAAATGTAAGAACTGAAATGTTTAAAATGCTTAGAAGAAAATGAAAGTTTCCATGTACTTGGATTAAGCAAAGATTGCTAAGATATAACACCAAAAGCATAAATGATAAAAAGTAAATTAACTGGAGTTATAAAATGCAAATCTTTGGTCTTCAAAGAACACCATTAGAACCCATGCAATAGGAGAAAACATTAGTAAATTATATATCTAATAAAGGACTTGCATCTAGAACATCAAAAATATATTAAAATTTATTAATGAAAGACAACTAAAGTTTATAAATGTTTTGACTATACAATTCTCACAGAATATATTAAAATGGTCAGTAAGGTTATATTTGTCTCAGATACTGAAGGAAAGATATTTAAAACCATTAGTCATTACAATAAAGTAAATCAAAGCCAGACTGAAATACCACCTACACCCATTAAGATAGCTATACTTACAATAATAATAAATAATAAGAGTTGGCAAAAATGTGGATTAATATAAACCCTCATACAATGCCAGAGGGAATGTAAAATGTGATAGTCACTCTGGAAAATAGTTTGACAGCTCTTTAATATTTTTTTAAAGATTTATTTATTTATGCATACAAGCTGGGGTACAGGCCAGAGGTAGAGGGGGGTGGGAGGATTCACCAGAGACACAGTGGGGAACAGATTAGGCAGACTGATGGAAGTACACTGGTTGACAGCTCTTTAAAATGTTAAACATGGGATTACACCTGAGGGGACAAATCAAACACTATACAAAAATGAACCACAATGTAAAATATAAATACATATTTTTAAAAATAATAAAATGTTAAACATATAGTTAACATATAAGGCAGTAATTACACCCCTAGTTATGAATCTAAAAATGTAGAGAAATGAAATATATGCATAAAAATTTATGTACAAATCCTTTTAACAGCATTATGCATAAAGGAAAAAGAGAAACCCAAAAATCAATTAAATGATAAACAGATAAACCTGATACAGACCTATAAAAGAATATTACTCAGCAATAAAAGGGGAAGTTCTGGGACATGGTACTACATAGATGAGCCTTAAAAACATCATACTGACTAAGCAAAGATAAAAAAGGTTGCACTGATTTATTTTCTTTATGTGAACAGTACAGAAAAATTTGTAGGTTGTCGGGAGCTATAGGGATTAGGGATTTGGTAATGACTGCTATTAGGGATGGGGTTTTTCTAATGGGGAAATAAAAGTGTTCTGGAATTAGTGGCAATCAATGCCCAACTGTAAATACATCAAAAATTACTGAAACACACGCTTTTAAAGAATGAACTATAATATCCATGAATTATAACCAAAACATTGTTAAAAATAGGCAAAAATAGGGCCTCCCCTGGTGGCGCAGGCGGTTGAGCACCGCTCTGTGAAGCTGTCCACAGCCTCTGCAATGCGGGTTCGATCCCTCCAACCCGCGACAATCCCATATGGCACAGCAGACTTCTCCTGTCTCGCCCGCTGCTCCCCTCAGCAGTGCATTTCTTCAGTCTGCCTGTTCTGTTGCTCGCTCTGCCTCCGGTGAATCCTCTCAACCTCCCGTGCATCTGGCCTGTACCCCGGTTCTTGTATAAAAATAAATAATCTTTTTAAAAAAAGGCAAAAATAACCATGATGTTGGAATTTCATGAATAGTGAATAAAATATGCACACAGGAGGGTATTCTAGGGCACTATTTATTTTGTGAAAATTTATGGAATTTAATATTTAAGACATTTTCTTTTCCATATATGATTATCCAGGAGTAAGAAGTTTTTAGAATAATTTTGAAATTCTGCTTAAGAAATCATAATGCAATTGCTTATCATGATAGTTAAAATTCATTATTTTAAAAATTTTTTATTGAGTTTATACTGGCTTACATTGTTCTTTCCACAAAAGACATGTATGATCCCCCATTTCGGCTCTGGGGGATTTAAAATTAAAATGCATTTGGGCTGTTTCCAAAGCTTAGCTATTGTAAATAGTGCTGCTATAAACATAGGGGTGCAGGTGCTCTTGGGAATTGATGTTTCTGTGTCCTTTGGGTAAATACCTAGGAGTGGAATTGCTGGATCATATGGAAGCTCTATGTTTACTAGGTCCAGAAATCTCCACACAGCTCTCCATAGTGGTTGGACCAGTTTGCACTCTAGCTAAGCTTTGGAAACAGCCCAAATGCCCAAAAATAGATGACTGAATCAAGAAGATGTGGTACATATATACCATGGAATATTACTCAGCATTCAAAAAAGATAAACACATGCAATTTGCAGCAACATGGATGGCTCTGGA